GGGGGGGGGGGGGGGGGGGGGAATATGGGTATTTTCTGGAACTGCACAGTCATATTTTTACTACCTCTTCCTCTCCTTCTTGTCTCTTTTTCTCCTTCCATCCTTCCTTCCTTCCTTCCTTCCTCCCATTCTTCATTTCCTTTCTCTCTCCCTCCCTTGTATTACATTTTTGTATGCATTATGTTGTTTACTCCTTATGGTTCATGGGTTCATTATTCTTTCTCTTTTTTTCAGCATCACAGAAGTACAAAGGGATGTGGAATACAGAGTTACCTTCAATGTGGGGAATTCAACTGTCTTTCTGAACATGTATGAAACAGCAACCAACTTTGATTTAATTCACTTATGCAATTCACTCATTAGAATGTTTATTTGATCAATCTGCAACTTTTTTAAATACTCATTAGTAATAACCCCTGTAGTGTGCAACTACAATGTCAATAACATTCCTTACAAAGTGAGCAGACACCCTGACAGTCCATATTAGGGTTATGATGTCATCTGCCAAATAGAGCCCATTTATGATCATGTCTTGACAGTGCAGTGTTTGCGATTAAAATTTATTTGCCATAATCATTCGAAATGGCACTGCCCTAGAATGAGCGCTGGTGATGAAAGCAACACTAGCAGCCCCATGGCCCACTGAGGGCAATAAGGATTAACGATGATGATGATGACGATGAAAGTAACATTAACAATTAGCATGAGGCCACTGCGCCTCCCAACTATATTGTATTAAAGCCAACAAAATACCTGGCATTGATGATATGGCATCTTAAGCTTTTTTTAATAGACTTGACTAATCAGAGTACACACTAGAAAATCCTGACCAAACTTTTGTTTTAAAAAAGAGAATTTTGTATGGTGGGAAATGCAGTTCTATTTAATTAAAACCCTTGTTTGTTCTTCCTTATCATTACAGAACTCTACCACCACAATTTCCTAATGAGAGACCTATGGTCAAAGTGTCACCTCCCTTGCGTCATCCATGGGTTAATGATCAAGTAAGAAAGCTTTTTTTGTCACATACTCATCGCCAATCATCTATATTTTATGAAAATAAAGTTAGTTTACAATTAGTGATTTGCATCTTATAGTTATTTTCTCGTTTACTGACATCTGGGGATAAACTGTAAAATTGACCAATGTCAACCACTGATTTCTGAACAGATTTACTTGTGTTTAAAATATTTTCTGCAATAATTACAAACCTCAAATCAATAAGGTTATGTACACTGCAGTGCCATATGAAAGTGGAGAAACTCTGCAATAAATATAATATTGGAAACTTATGTAATAAAAATTATTAACTAAACTAAAGATTGGAGGAATAATGGTAATTAACAGAAAGTTGCAACAAGGTATGTTCTTTCCACATTATTATTATTATTATTTTTCTTTTTTTAGATGGTGGTTGTGGGATGTCCTGGCATAAATAGTGTAAGAACATTTTAAATTGAGTGATCTTGTGTTTTTTCTTCTTCTTTCCCACACATGAAAGCATTATTTTACTTGTTAGGTGGCTATACTTATATCTTTTAGTAACCTTTTGACTGCTAGCAGTGATAGGCAGTAACAATCATTACTGCTCAACTACAAAAAAATGATTATTTGATTATGCATTATATAATATCAAGAGCAGAAACGTGTTAATAAAGGAAGGGAATCGCAATCAATATTTTTAATTAGTAATTTTAGTATTTCAAGTTTGGGACAGAATTTATTGACTTCTTTATCTCCCAATTTGTCTTAAAACACCCAGAACTGAAAACTGTATTTTTTCAAATTATGTAACTCGAAGGCTCAGTGAATTTGGGACACAGACCCCACACCCCAACGTCTTGTTTTGGATGTACATGCAAATAAAAGTCAGCAGATTGGTCAGCATTTCATCTTAATACATTTAATCAACTAAAACTGACAAGCGCTATCAGGGAAATGATTCATTATTTGTGGCCAATTCAATAATTATAATTTACTGTCTAATTTGCTTTACCTTTAGTTTTACATGCACTCCAACCTGGGTAGAACCATCACAGAGATTGTCAACGAATTCTCCGACCACCCCCCGCAGTTTCTTGGTCCACTGACATCCCAACCACAGTGAGTATTGTTTAATTTTTATTTATTAATTTTCCCTGTTAGTGCTGTAATGTGCAATCTAAATACAGGACATGGAGCATCGCTATCTGGAACTTGGTTATCTCAAACTCCTCACTATCTCGAACTCAAGTCAGTTCCTCTTGGACATAATTTTCAGTCACTTACTATTGGCTATCTTGAACCCCTGACATCTTTTGGTATAATTTTTTCATTTCCCTTAGGCTTAAGAGTTCAAGTTGGTGGTGGTCAACTGTAGTTACAATTTTCTTTGTACTTGTCATAATTTTTTTTTTTTATTTGCTCATTGGAAAGTTGATCATAAATTAAGGCCTTCCACTGCGGCCAAGCCTCATTTTCTGACCATAGCTGTGTGCATGTGATCAAATATGATATCAATTAAATTCAACATGGGTAGCTTTAAACAAGCATTTTAAATTAACAAAATTCTCTTCAATTTTAATTTTGCAGATTTCCAGCAAGTTCTAGTGGATATCAACCCTTAAACCACTACAGCTTTTCTGGTTTTCCTGGCTTTCAGTATGCGCCACAATCTACTGCACCTTCCAGTACACCCTCTTTTTCTTCACTTAATTCACCAATAAGCCAGTATTCACCTCTAGCCATTACAAGTGCAGGAGCTATGCCACACTTGTCAGGAAACTCTCAGGTACCGTGTTCAATTTGAGTTTGAAAGCAGCGTAAGCCTCTCGCAACTTCGTCGCTCACTCGGCAGCTTCATGACCTAAACAACCTCGTAGCTCGCTTCACTCGCTTAGCTATTCTACCCTGAAACTCACGAGGTTGACTTTCAGCACGTCTGGGGGAGAGGGAGGGTATGCAAATTCAGTTGTAAAAATAGAGCTGGAAAACAGGTCTGAAGGGACTCAACCCCCTTAAAATGAGTTACACTGTATCAAGCCAACTAGAAGCTGGTAACTTTCTGAGTTCGTCATTTTCCCCGTAGAAGATGAAGATATACAGCGAGCATAATAATTATAAAAATTATGAGTTTGAGAGTGAGGTAGAACAGAGCTACTGATTCAGATGAAAAGATATGATGTGTTAAGCCCTTTGATAAGAAAAGCCTTTTGATACAAAACTGCACAGTCACGCAGACTTGCATGTGGTAAAAAATGCTTAAAAAAGAAATAATGACAAAATAACATTTAAGACTAATAATGTTGGTGTTTTTTCCATTAGATCACTCAGACGACTCCGTCAAGGCCACCTGTTCCACCCAGGCCTTCCCAACCAGCCAAAGTACATGTATCAAGCTCCATTCCAGAACTTGATGGTTTGAGGTAAGATTTATTATATACTTGGTACCCTGTTCAATTTTTGAGGTAGGTGAGGTCATGGGACAACAACATAAATGTTTGTGTTAGGACAAGAGGGGCTATAATTCATCTGTTGCTACTTGCAAAATCTTAGGGGATTCAAACATAAGTGGAAGCCATTTCTGCAGTGTGAGAAGGATGCTTCATGATAGCTTCATGAAAGGGATGGAGCCCCTTCCTTCAACACTGGCTTCCTGTCTCAGCTTTACATGTAGGTATTCATGAACAACATCAACCCCACCTCTCTCCAGCTATTTCCCCACATCCTGTTCTTGTAAAATAATGGCAAGCTGCTATAATACATGAAAATCCCTCGACTCAAAAGTGTTCTAGCCTGCAATTCCTAACGGTTGGTTAGTTCTAGCACTAATAATACTTCTGTTGATTTGTATTCCAGTCTAGAGGAGCTGAAGGATCTCAGTGATAAACCTGAAATTATGGACTTATTCTTGACAAAACTAGAATCAGTAAGTAAACAAATCATTGGGGACACTCACTTGCGAAGAGAATTCTTTTTACTGAAAAGATCATTATTATATTCAGTTGACTCTCCTTGTTTCCTGACATAGTGGCTTGCCTAATGGTTGGTGTGTAGGACTACAGATCGAGTAGTGTGGGTTCAAGGACTGGCTGTGTCCATAGTGTTGTGTTCCTGTGCAAGGCACTAAGCAGTCAAGTGTCAAGACAACCTGGCAAATGCTGGGGCCTGGGAGGCAGAAGGAGGGGGAGGGGAAGGGGGAGGGGAGGAGGGAAGTGGACGGAAGGGTTTATTCTGGAATGGACAAGTACCTTCCTTTAGAGGCAGCTAGCCGCACCCTTGCTGCTGCTAGATTCACAAACTGAAATCAACCCCGATGGTGTTAGTCAAGTGCTCTAGGCCCAAATGCACCCTTTACTGTAGAAGTCTTCTTCTTTTTTTCTAATTTTATTTTATTTATTTTCTCTTTCAGGTTAAAAAGTTAGAAGTTGATAAGGAAGAAGTGGAGAAGAAAAATGAAGAAATAGCTAGTAAGTTTTTGTCTTGTCCATATCAATGGGTGTTTTATATCATGAGTAGAATTCCCGTTCCATGTTGTAATTTGGATTTCAATTAACTGAGCTGTATTTTCCGACAGGGTTTAACTTGTCCCTACAGTCTAAATTGGAGGGTAGCAAAGATGATCTTTTAAAAAAGGTGAGAGATATTTTAGTTCGCCTTTGAAGCTATTTTACAATTAAAAATTATTCTACGAGCTCGCGTTGGATATCAGTTGGCTATAGTCATCTCATATCCAACTAGCGCGAGTGGAATAATTGTTTTGTTAAAAACGCCGTCAAAATATAGAAAACTAAAATAAGTTAAAAACAAACACGCCCCAAAAACTCACGCGTACGCTTACCATATTTGTAGAGCAAATTATTATTATTTATTATATGGTATAATGGCTCATATATCACGATGGCTAAGCCAATGAAAACTCTTGAATTGCATTATCAAATGATCCAGGTTTGAAAGGAGCTCAGTCACGGTATTTTGGGTTATTTTGGCCACATACAAAATTACCTTTAAATGGTAGGAAGCCTGAAAATAAGAGTTTAATAAGATAGAAAAACTCCAAAGTGATAATGATCAATCATAAAAGAACAAGGATGGCTAAGGATGGAGAAGATTAACACGGATTACAAACGACGAATTTGAAAAATTGAGGCGAAACTTTTCAATATGCGCAAACCGTTACTGAGCCCCTTTAACAATAATGAAATAACTCGAGTAGATTTTGAAGAATATCGGTTAAATCAAAGAGGGTACTTGCAGTACAAAAGTTTTGGTTCTTCCAACGTTAATGTCTTAGAGAATCGTTCACAGTGCTTGCATATACTACCGTTTCGTGGTAAAATTCCTTTACTGGTGTCCCCTCAGTTGTGGTAATTATTACGTTTAGTACTACTAACAAAGTATATCACACAATTTGTCGAGGTTAACAAAGGAAATCACGAAATACCGTAAATCCTCGAATTAGCGCCCGGGGCACTTATTTCAAATTTAGGAGAAGACGGGGGTGCTTATTTGATTTTTCCCAAATCGTGGCCTGACATGATCATTTTTTGAATACATCATCTGCGCGTAAACAACAACATAAGCTTTTTATCGACATAAAAAGCTTATTCTAAAGTTTAAATTGCGGCACTGTTAGCACTTGCATTTTTTTTCCAAACTTAACGTGCTCACAAACTGAAACAATGTTCAAATCTAATACAACCTTTGTTGTCTCCTTAACTTTCTCTGCAGTGCGAGCGTGTGTCTGAGCTGAAACAAGAGTTTGCAAATAATAGCCAGAAGCAAAGAAATCTGACTGAGGTAATGCTTTTGAATGAAATAATCTGCAGGGGTTATTCAACCATAAGTTGTGAAGAATTTTGCAAATGTAGATAGCTTGGAAAAAAGGGGAAAACAGTAGACATGGCTGACTCTGACCGTGATCGTCGCTTTTGATTCTTTTCCAGTGAAGTACATCTGATCTTAACTTGGAAAGCCAACTAAAGGAAAATAAACTGTTGAATAAACAACAGCCAGAATTCCACTCTACGAACCTTAAGCCCTGGTCAAACCGTGTCGCAAGTAGACCCAAGTATTCAACTTGCGTCTACTTGCGAGTCCGTTTGGCCAGGGCTTTGGCAACAAATGACCTTGCTAAACTTCGTCGAAACCGAGTAGTGTTATGAAAAGTGAACTGATCAAATGACAGGAGCGTGGGACAAATAATAAATCTGAGTCCCCGACAAGAATCGAACCCATGACCTCCCGAACACTGGACGGGCGCTATATCCACTGAGCTACGAGAACTCATGGAGAGCAAGGTCATTTAACTGAGTTCATATGTGACAGGCGTCCTGTATACTGCTGCGATCACCACTGTCGAAGTCATCGTGAGTGTGATAAGTGAATAAAGATGGTGAATTCTAAGCTCGGTAATGAAATGTGAAGGGTGAACTTATCAACATGACACGAGCGTGGGACAAAGGAAAACATCCGAGTCTCGTGAGCTGAGTAATGTTGTTCACCAGAAAATTCACTCTGTATTGTTAACATTTATTCACTGGACAGCGATTTATCTAGCTTGAGATTCAGGAACCTTTTGGGTATTTCTATAAGGATTTTTTCAGGTTGCTCGTAGCTTTAGAAGTAAAACAGAATGGCACATCATTCTTCTCAAACGAAGTGATTTGTTTTGTTCTTCTGTTTTTGTCTGTTTGTTTGTTTGTTTGTTTGTTTGTTTGTTTGTTTGTTTTCTATCAAGGTTAATTTAACCAGGTGGGAGGGGGCGACTCTGTAGTTTCCAGTATTGATGCTTGACCGATAAACTCTGCGTGATTTGCAAATTTTGAACTTTACAGGCACTGTCCATAGCCGCGATACAAACGCATTTGCAAATAGCTGCCACTCAAGCTGAAGAAGAATCAGATGTAAGTGACTAACTACAGAAAGATTTATGATCAACATTTATTACCGAGGCAAAAAGCTAGAAAATGGCGTATAGAAATTGAAAGACGAATGTTCAAAAAATGTTCAAATGTTGTTGTTAATAGTTGTCAGTGTGCTTAGCAACACCTAGCTAAGTTCACAGGCATGCCACTGACTTGAAACTGAAAGAAACAAATATATCAGCTAAATGAACAGGCTTAAAAATCCCAGCTGGCGGGAGGCAGACCAGTTGGTTATTTACAAGCATGACCGAGGAGTTGAACCAGGGTCTACCAAGAAAAAACTCGAGCTAAGTGGTCAGAGCGGGCCTTGAAACCGTGATCTCCAGATTTCAAGTCCGGCGCCCTGACCATTCGGCCACAATGTCTACTATTACGAGCCGGAAGAGAGGTTACGTATTCTTTAGGAAGCTAAGGAACCTGAAAGAGTGATAATTGATAATGCCGTTCTCATTGTGAGGTAGTTGAAAAAAATCATGTTCACAAATGGTCAGGATTTTAAACTGGGATACAGAGCCTTAACTTTGACTGGTTTGTTGATCGAAAAATCATTTCTCATTAGAATATCAATGTATTGGCAAGTAACTAAGTGGTAAGAATAACGAAAATCATAAATGACAGGCAGATGTGTTGTCTTGACGTGTCAGACAATTCTTTGACCTAGTAGGAAAGAAGTGTATGGTAATTGGTGAGCAGAATTGATGTGCTAATGTTTGATGTAATGAGCTAAACGCTTTTCTTCTTTTTTTTTCCCCAAGGTCATCGCAGATGAATTTCTTTCAAGTAAGTATACGTGTTTCCACTTTAGTTCTGGAAAGTCACGTTGCTTTGAAAATGACATCTTTTAATTTGGCTGTTCGTTCGTTCGTGTTTGTTTGTTTGTTTGTTTGTTTGTTTAAATTTGCCTCAATTACCTTTTTGTCCTTCGCAGAAAACATAACACCAGACGAATTTATTCAGAAGTATCTAGCAAAAAGAAAGGTAAGAATTTATTTGTAGTTGACTCTTAGCAATAGAATTCTGCCATTTTCTTTTCTCAGTCATAGTTGAGAATCGCCTCTAAACCCATTCAGGAGGACTGGAAACAAGTCAGTCTTCTTTCCGTCAAAATATGGAAAAACAAACATTATAAATTGCCTTTAACAAAAATATGTTGTCAATGGCTTAAAAGATTATTTCAGGACGTTTAGGTTGCTGCTGCAATAGGCCATTTTACAGTTGTGTGCTCAGTTACCTGGCCTTTGAATGCAAGCGAGGCTGGAGGTGACCTTGCTTTGATACAGATCTCTGCTTTTTCATTCAAATGCCAACTAGTTAGCATAAGAACAACTTGATTTACACAACAAAAGCATTGAGGTCTGTATCACGTAATTGTTACGTAATTATTACGCAAGGTCCTGGCAACAAGTTCAGCGTCGGTGCGAAAACGAAGGTTGCTTTAATTCAAGTTATAATTTCCCTTAATTCTCCATTTCAGTTGTGCCACAGTAGAAGAGCGAAAGAAGAGAAAATAAGAAATCTCCACACAAGATATTGATTAGAAACTAAAAGCTAGTCAAGGAAATATCCGACAAAAGATTTCCAGATGTCTTCGTGAAGGCACGAACCACCGAGTTCGTCTTCGTTGTGTTGGATGGTCACGTGACAGTTCAGTGAGTCACATGACAGTTCGGTAGTCAAGTGACAGTTCGGTTAGTCACGTGAACGTTTCAAGATCGTTCAAGAAACGTCTCGAACTAATCAAATGTTGTGAACAAGCGGATTTGCGTAAAACTCATTTCCATTTTTCGAAGTGAGTTTGCATACAATACGAAGCGTTGTAAAACTAAATTTTCAGCGCTCGCTTCAAATTTTGCAATTATGTCGTCATTTTAAGACACCTTGAATGACACTGTAGATGAACATTTGTGTTGCAATGTTACACGTGTAAATACCAAAACTAAATGGAATCTGGTGACAATTTTATGAATTCTATCAAGAATTGTAAAACCCATCTTGAATGATGTAAAGCAAAATAGTTTAAAAGGGATATTTAGGAATTTATTGCAATCGCCGAGGTGAGTTTAGATTTCATTTATAGAAAAGAAGTAGCTGAAGCCTTGTAAAACTCGATCGAACGCGATAATAAAAATAAAGAAGTTTTCATTTCCAGATAAGCATAACGGTAGCGTGGACGCCCACAACACAAGTTTTCTCGACCCCAGACCCCTCGCTTTTTTGACCGCGTGCGTCATGCGCAAAAGAGAAGAGCTCTGGGGTCGAGAATGCAACACAAGCATAAGCAGGTAAGCATGCACAGAATGAATACTTGCCTTATTTTCGGTTCCATACTTCCACTATACAGTAAAACAAGATGGCTGACTTTCGCTTAACTTACAGCAGCGCTTTCTCACCTGACAAAAGCAATTAGCACAAGCACAAGCGAGCAACAACGTTGTTGTTCTTATGCTAGTGTCGCGAGTGTCCTCACTACCCTGTGCTTATGCTAATGCTAAAGCTGTGGGCATGTCCTCACTACAAATAACAGTTATGCTTATGTTTGTGTTGATGTCGTAGTGAAAACCGGGCTTAAAGATGATTTCCAGTTCGTACTGCGCAATCTCAGCACCCTAATGTTTACAAACAAAAAAAAGTCTCACTCGATGGAATGCGAATCGATGTTATTCGTTACGAGCCACATACCTTTTAAAAATCTTTGAGGCCTTTCAAATTCTCTTTCCAGCTGCCTCGATTCATTGATTTTTACAGCTGCAAAGTTGTTTCATCAAATGATACGAGAAAGAACGAAACAAAGTTTCGCGTCCATAATGGCGGTGGACATGAAACTTTGAATTTACTTCATGTAAGTAGTTGTGAAATGTTCACATTTTGTTATGTCCTACATAACTCTCGAGAGTGCGCGGTACGGACTGGAAATCATCTTCAATGTGTAAATGTATAGAAATGAACTACAACCTTGTCGGTTGAGACAATAATTACAATTTAAAGAGGCAGCACTATTATGAGCATGACCTCGAAAAGGTTTAATACATAGCCTCTTACGGGAACTTGAAATGAATAAATGAAATAATTTGTTTTCGCCGAGGCATGTGTCTCTTTTCGCTTGTTACTAGCTACGGCCCTCGCA